CCCTATTTATTTCAAAACCCCCTTCCCCTCCCCCTTTTCTGATGAAGGGTCTAGGCCCGAAACGTCAGCCTCTCTGCTCCTATGATGCTGCTTGGCCTGCTGTGTTCATCCAGCCCTGCACCTTGTTGTCTCGGATTCTCCAGCATCTGCAGTTCCTACTATCTCTGATTCGATTTAAACCTATGCCATCTAGTTTTGGACTCCCCCACCCTGGGGAAAAGACCTTGTCTATTTACCCCATCGATGCCCCTCATTATTTTATAAAACTCAAAAAGGTCACCCCTCAACCTGCCATGCTGCAGGGAAAATAGCCTCAATCTATTCAGCCTCTCCCTTTAAGTCAACACTGGCTCTCTGAAGAGCATCCCATCCAGACCCAACCCCTACCCTATAACCTTGCACTTCCCATGGGTTATCCACATGACCCACACATTCCTGGACAGTATGAGCAATTTAGCATGGCCAATCCACATAATCTGCACATCTTTGGATTGTGGGCAGAAGCTCACACAGACACAGGGATAATGCACAAACTCCACACAGACAGTAACCCAGCTCCCTCGTGCTGTGAGACAGCAGTGTTAACCTCTGAGACACCTTGCCACCCTAAACATTTCTGAACTCTTTCAAGTTTTGCAACATCCTTCCTATAGCTGGGAGACCAGGATTGCATGTAGTACTCCAAAAGTGGCCTAACCAATGTCCTGTACAGCTGCAACATGACCTCCCAACTCTCTACTCAATGCACTGACCAATAAAGGCAAGCATACCAAATCCTGTCTACCTGCAACTCCACTTTCAAAGACTCTGCACTCTAAGGTCTCTTTGTTCAGAAATACTCCCCAGGACCTTACTATTCAGTGGAAAAGTCCTGCCCTGATTTGCCTTTCTAAAATGCAATGCCTTATATTTGTCTAAATTAAACTCCATCTATCACTCCTTAGCCCATTGACCCATCTGATCAAGGTCCCATTGCACTCTGAGGTAACCTTCTTTGCTGTCCACTACACCAATTTTGGTGTCACCTGCAAACTTACTAACCATACCTCCTACCTTTACATCCAAATCATTTATACAAATGAAGAAAAGCAGTGGACCCAGCACCGATCCTTGCAGCACACAATTGGTCACAGGGCTCCATTCTGAAAAGCAAACCCCCACCACCACCCTGTCTTCTATCTTCAAGCCAGTTCTGTATCCGAATGGGTAGTCCACCTTGCACTCTATGTGATCTAACCTTGCTAACCAGTCTACCACGAGGAACATTGTCAAACGCCTTACTGAAGGCCATATGGATCATGTCCACCGTTTTGCCCTCATCAATCCTCTTCATTACTTCAAAAAACTTAATTATGTTAGTGAGATACGATTTCCCACGTACAAAGTCTTGTTGACTATTCCTAATCTGTCCTTGCCTTTCCAAATACATGTAAATCTAGTCCCTTAGGATTCCCTCCAACAACTTGCCCACCACTGATGTCAGGTTCACCAGTCTATAGTTCCCTAGCTTCTCCTTACCACCTTTCATAAATAATGGTACCATGTTAGCCAACGTCCAGTCTTCCAGCACCTCACCTGTGGCTATCGTTGACACAAATATCTCAGAAAGGAGCCCAGCAATCACGTCCCTAGCTTCCCATAGAGTTCTAGGGTACACCTGATCAGGTCATGGGGATTATCCACAATTATGCATTTTCATAGTCCAGCACCTCCTCCTCTGTAATATGGACATTTTTCAAGATGTCACTACTTATTTCCCCACGTTCTATAGCTTCCATATCCTTCTCCACATAAATACTGATGCAAAATACTCATTTAGTACTTCACCCATCTTCTGCGGTTCCACACATAGGCAACCTTCGCGATCTTTAAGGGGCCTTTTTCTCTCCCTAGTTTCCCTTTTGTCTTGTAGAATCGCTTTGGGTTCTCCTTGACTCTATTTGCCAAGCTGTCTCATGTCTCCTTTTTGCCATCCTGATTTCCCTCTTAAGCATATGCCTGCTGCCTTTACACTCTTCTATGGATTCACTCAATCTCTTCTGTCTAAAACTGATATATGCTTCCTTCTTTTTCTTGACCAAAACCTCACTTGAGAGTTTCTGGGACATGGCACAGAACTGAGGTTTCGGGATTTCAAACTAATCCAAACTGTTCAAACTGACTCTCACTGGGTTGTTTACAAGTTTGAGACCGGATTGATCTAGCTGAACTGTCAAGCTTCTGGTGTTGAGAGCTGGAAAACATTTCCTACGTGGGGTTGTTACAAGTATGAAACACCTCAGCCAAGATAGCTTGATGCAGCACAACAGACTTGTCAACACCCAAAGTTTGGAACAGCAATCTCAAGGGTAGCATCTCAAAATTGTTTCGGAATACTGGCGATTCAGACTTTTGGGTTTGAAACTGTGTCTTTGGGGAAGGGTGAGTGCAAAACAGCAGTCAAGACGTGTTCCTTGGTGGGAAATAGTCATTGAGCTAAAAATTAATTGGCATGGAGCCAAGTTCCGTGTCTGATGAAGTGTAGTGGGTGGGCACTCAAAGCATCTAAACTAGGAGCAGAAGTAGAAGTAGGCCACTCGGCCCTTCGAGTATGCTCTGCTACTCTATACGATCATGGCTGATCCTCTATCTTAATGCCATATTCCCACCTTGTCTCCATTCTCTTGATGTCTCTAAAATCTAAAAGCCAGAGGATCAATCAGAAATTTTCCAGTTTCAGAGCAGCAGCAAATACTAAGGTACTGACAGGATGTTTCAACACAGAGTTGTTCTCTCAACAATGTTTAAAAAACAAGAAATATAAAAAAAGTCAGACCACCATTGCAGAAGTGGTGAGTGTGGTGCCCCTCAACAAGCAGGTTGTTGGCATCATCTGTTCCTAAGTAGGTGGACAAGACTCTTAGGTCTGCCAGGGGCCATGGCTCCCCTCACTAGTTTGCCCTCCTGCTGGTTGCCTTTCTCCTGAAGAACAGCAGGGAGGAAAGTAGAGTTGAGGCTGAGATGGGATCAGCCATGATGGTATTAAATGATGGAGCAGGCTGGAGGGGCTGAATTGCCTACTTTAGCCCGCAGGTCTCATATTCTATGTTTTCCAGGAGGATTAGCGCCTTGCTACATTAGGAAAATCTGAGATGGCCTTAGAGCCTTGTTGGGGGAACAAGAGGCTGGTGGTGATGCTGGCAGTTTCCAGCCCGTATCTGCTTCTGTTCCTGCCTTTGATCGGGACTGAAAACCCCTTTCCCAGATTCATGCTGACGAGACTTTCTTTACGTGACATATTCTCAAGAATCAAGGAACAGTGACTGATACATCATTAAATAAAGCAGGAATTAAACACAAGTTAAAAAGTCAGCGTGCAAAGCTCAATTCCCAAAAAGATTGAACTCGAATAAAAACCCTCCCGATCCACTCATACCCCCTATAGATGTGAAGATGCTAGAAGAGATATGACAAATGAAACAAATTAAACTTCATGCTTCATGTTCACTAATAGGAAAGATTTGTAAGGTAAACAGAACTGTTTTTATTCAGGGACCCTCTTTGTATTTCAGAATCTTGGATGGTTGTTGAGGCGATATCTGCAATGCTTAAACATGGGGACAGTTCACAAAACTCGAGAATTTCCACTGAAGACCATAAGGTAGCAATGTTCAAATTATTATTCAGAATAATTACTTTCTATCAAGTAGGTCAGGCTAAATTAGTAAGATTTTCAATTCTTCCCACTCCCAGGATCAATCTTCTGAACAACAAAATTAAGTGGGGCAGTAACATTTCGTGAGTTTTTTGTTTATGTAATTGTGTTACGGATGGGATACTCCTGGATTACCCTACTAGATCAGGAGAAGTTTATTTTTTCTGAAGAAGGGTCCTGACCCGAAATGTCAACTTTCCTGCTCCTCTGATGCTGCCTAGCCTGCTGTGTTCCTCCAGCTCCACACTCTGTTATCTCTGACTCCAACATCTGCAGTTCTTACTATCTCTGAGTTTATTTTCTTTCTGTTTGGCATGCAAAGATAAACAGCTATGATGTGTTAACCTATTACTGTTGGTGAAGGGGATGGTGAGGGGCAGCACAGTCTTGTGATTAAATCTCCTGGAATACATCCAACTACAGTTGGCAACCCTATCCACAGCAGATATCAGAGTCAATTGGATTTGTAGCCTATTAGAACAAGCAAGATTTCTGCTAAAGTCATAATGGATGATGAAGAACATTGTATGGAAAGTGGCTACAATTGAATCTCACTGAGGCCCACTCACTGTTTCAAACAGCTTCTGACCCAATGACTCAATTACCTTTCTGAAGTTAAGAGGTAAGGCAATTACCAAGAGTACTTGTGAACTACTAAACCTCTGAATGTGACACTTTCATTCTGTCTTGAGCTGATGCCCAGACACACCAACCCTTTCCAGAAGGAGGTGAACTGATAATATATAGCAGAAACCTGATTAACGACTTGCCTCAGAAACATGCTGCCTCGATCACCCAAGATCAGAGTAAGAATGGAGGCTGGGACTTTGGATCAATTGCACGGCTAACTCGGTGAGCCTAAAAATCAACATAGTACGGCTGTGAAGGTCTGGTAAATATGTTGGACAGAAACAGGAAGAATTTCATTTCCATGTTTAGACAACTCTCAGGACAATAAGAGAAAATGTTTAAAAAGGAGTTTCAATTTCCCAATTTTTGTTTTGATTTTTAAACTTTAGTCATTGCAAATTTTATCACTGTCAACATATGAAAGGCTCTCCACAGGCACAACCACTGAATTGGAAGAAGGGTGAGCAAGGAAAATGGGAAACTACTGAAATGACAAACACTCAATGCAAAAGAAAGGTGAGATGTTAAATGGTTCACATCTGAGGATTTGTCTAAGCAGAAGGGCAGAAAACACTGTTACAGTGTGAACATAAATCCAAGAATCCTACAGGGTCATAATGAAAGAAACACCGAATCATCAGCACAGATGACAAGGATAATAAAGGGTTGGATATACCTGTCTTGTTCTGATGACTGTAAACTAGTATCTGGTCTCAAACAGTTGGTGCTAGCACTCCTAGCCCTGTCAAGAGAGTGCTGTATTTCACTAATGCCAGTACATGGCATCCCATGGTGGAAAAGAAAGAGGACAGAAAAGGAAAACAAAGAAGGAATATAATGTTAGATTGTAAATCATAAAGGCAATGCACTTTCAAAAACATGATACAGAAAACAGTCAATGATTTGAACCATTCAAAGATGCTGGAAAGTTGGCAGGATGAATCAAAAAACAAATTCATTCAAGAACAAAACTATGACACAGTTAAATGTCAAATATTTGAGAAATCTTTACGAATACGATACACAGGAAGATAAATTCTTTCATTTGCAAAAATCAGTTTAACGAAGTCAACATGTGTTTGGTGGAGTGAGAGTGTTGGCATGGTGATGTCGTGAACGATCAACATGCTGAGGGGTTGTGTTTGTGACTGTGCAAGATGCAGCCCAAACACATAGTGACAATTTGATTTGGATGAGGTTTTAACATTGAAAAATGGCATAATCTTTGTTATACCCCAAACTCCTGTCCCTATTTTGAGGGCTGTTATTAGGCTGCAGAATTTCTTGGAAGTTACACAATGTCTGCTGAGAGCGCAAAAGACTTTCCCAAGAATGCTTACAGTCAGAGTTATACAGCTTGGAATCGATCAAACTCGACCATATTGACCACATCTCCTAAACTGATCTAGTCACATTTGCCAGCATTCGGCCCATATCCCTCTAAACACTTAATATTCATATACCCATCCAGATGCCTTTTAAATGTTGTAATTGTACCTGCCTCCACCACTTCCTCTGACAGCTCGTTCCATACGAGCACCACCGTCTGTGTGAAAAAGGAACCTCACAGGTCTCTTTTAAATCTGTCCCTTCTACCTTAAACCAATGCCCTCTAGTTTTAGACTCCCCCACTCTAGTAAAAAGACCTTGGCTATTCACCTGATCCATGCCCCTCGTGATTTTATAAATGTCTATAAAGTCACCCCTCAGCCTCCAACTCTCCAGGTAAAAAAGCCCCAGTCTATTCAGCCTCTTTCTATAGCTCAAACCCTCCAATCCGGGCAACATCCTTATCAATCTTTTCTGAGCCCTTTGAAGTTCAGCGTCTTTCCTTTATATTTTTCCGTTTATTGTGATAAAGGCTGTGAAAAAAGTGGAGGCCTTTATTTCAGCTCAGCATCGCTCTTGAGGTCTGTCCATGGTGAATAGTAGTAGGTGAACTGGCGTGGAGGATGTAAGGGGAAAGTGTGTTGCGGGGGAAATTGAGCTCACATTAAGTTGATAAGAAGCTATAATTGGCCATGGGCGTAGGTGAGGTGAAATGGTTGCCATGAGTTAGTGTGATGGGTTATGGGCAATGGATGTGGGTGTTGATGGGGAGTAAGGGGTGACCAATAAGAGGCCTAATATTTTAACATCTAGGACAAACTCCCTCAGTCCTCAGCAGTCCCTGTGATTGCTTTGGTCTGCATCAGGTACAGGAAACTGCACTTATCACCCACACTCGCTGATGAAGACTAGTTTAACAGAGCTTCTCTCTGAGGCAAGTGCGGCAAGCTGGGAAATTTGTAGATTCACACTTCCCACCTCAGTGGTGAAACTACAGCACCTTAGCTGTTTCTTTTTCCGTAGGTGTTAACTGACCCAATGAGTATTTCCAGCATTCCCTGCTTGAGTATCTTGCTCAACAGACACAGGGCAATGAGAAATCTCAATCTCTGGATGGTTTTACTCTATCTCCAAGCAATATACAAAAATCAGTTGCAGAATCTGACCATCAGAGATGAGCTAAACCAATTAAGAGCGTTTTTTTTAAATTGGTAAGGAGGAGGAAGAGAAATAATAATGGGCTGAAGTACAGAATCTCTAGAAATTAATGGACAGGTACAGAAAATAATTTGAAATTTCAGTCGATTGTTTAGTCTTCGTCTTATAGGGAGTGGAATACAAAAAAATTTGGAGAGTATGCAACACTAGTATAAAGCTCTGATTTAACTGGAGTACTATGCGCATGATTGGGTACTGCATCTCAGGAGGATTTCGGTCTTTGCGTGGGCACAACACAGATTCACCAGAATGATTCACCAAATGAGTTAAATAACCATGACACTTTTCAAAGACAAAACTTGTGTTTATTTGAGTACTATTGACCGGGGAGTTAATATAACTGAGTTGCTTAAGTTCCTTTGAAGGAACTATGAGGATGGATAGAGAAACTACTCCCTTTGATCAGGCAAAGGACATAAACTTAAAATTAGAACTACATACTTCAAGGATGATGTCAGGAATCACTAATTCACAACATGGGTGCGCAAACAAAAACAGAAATTGCTGGAAAATCTCAGCAGGTCTGACAGCATCTGTGGAGAAAAAGCTGAGTTAACATTTCAGTCCAGTAATACACATACCTGCATTTGGCTCATATCCCTTAATGTCCTTGCTTAACAAAAATGTATCTGTCAAAAATTTAAAATTAACAACTGACTCTGTATCCACTGCCATTTGTGGCAGAGAGTTCAAACCTCTAGCATGGTTTTTGCACAGAAGTGCATCCTAACATCTCTCCTGAATGGTCTGGCCCAAATGACTATTCCTCATAGTTCTGGAATCTTGAACCAGTGGAGATAGTTTATTTTTATTTAACCTGTCTTTTCCTGTTAATACAGAGTCATACATCATGGAAACAGACCCTTTGGTCCAACTCATCCATGCCAACCAAGTTTCCCAAACTAAACTAGTCCCATTTGCATGCATTTGCCCATACCTCTTTAAACCTTTCCTACTTATACACTTGTTCCAGTTTATCCAGCCTCTCCTCATAACTCAAACCCTCCAGTTCTGGTAACATCCCTGCAAATCTTTACTGCATCTCCTCCAATTTAATAATATCCAGAACTGTACACAGTACTCCAAAAGTGGCCTCACCAACGTCCTGTACAATCATTATTATCTTGAAAACTTTAATCAGATCACCTTCAAAACTGGAGAGAAAACAGGTTGAATTTGTATACTTTTTCCTCATAATGTATACCTGAAGTACAGTTTCATTCATGTGAATCTCCGTTGTACCCACTCCAAGGCTAACATGCACTTCCTAAGGTGTGGTGCCCAGATCTGCTCACCGTATTCCAAGTAGGGTCTAACCAGGGTTTTGTACAGCTACAGCATAAGTTCTGCATCTTTATACTCCAGTCCTCTAGATATAAAGGCCAGCACTGCATTTGCTTTCTTGATTATTTGCTGCACCTGTTTGTGACATCTTCAAGATCTATGCACCTGAACACTCAAGTCTGTTTGGACATCCACCGTATTGAACTTCATATCATCTAGGGAATATCTTTTCCAGTCCAAATGGATAACCTCACACTTGTTTACATTAAAATCCTTCTGCCACAGTTTTGCTCATTCATCTAGTCCATCAATATCCCTTAGAGGGAGGGTGAGCAACCAGCAGCCATGGTACACATCGGTACCAATGACATAGGTAGAAAAAGGGCTGAGAATGTGAAAAATGAGTACAGGGAGTTAGGATAGAAGCTGAAGTCCAGGACATACAGGGTAGTTATCTCTGGATTACTACCAGTGCCACGTAATAACGAGGTAAGAAATAGGGAGAGAGTGCAGCTAAACATGTGGCTACAGGGCTGGTGTAGGAGGGAGGGCTTCCATTATGTGGATAATTGGAGCACATTCTGGGGAAGGTGGGACCTGTACAGTAAGGACGGGTTGCACCTGAACTGGAAGGGCACAAATATCCTGGGAGGGAGGTTTGCTTGAGCTATACGAGATGTTTTAAACTAGATTGACAGGGCGTGGGGAACCAGATTTGTAATTCAGAGGATGAGGTATTCAGCCTTCCAACAGACACATCAGGGAGTGAGGTTGGTAATAAAGAAATGCGGTCGATGGAGCGAAATTGTGGACACAGGGATGGTTCGAAGTGTGTATACTTCAATGGTAGAAGTATCAGAAATAACGCGGATGAACTTAGAGCATGGGTCAGTACTCGGAACTACGATGCTGTGGCCATTACAGAAACTTGGGTAATTCAGGTACAGGAATGGTTGTTGGAAGTTCCGGGATTTAGATGCTTTAAAAGAAATAGGGAAGGTAGTAAAAGCGGTGGGGTGTGGCATTGCTAGTCAGGGCTATTGCTAGGCAGAATAGCAGCTTCTGAAAGGCAGTTCGAGAATGATATGTCGACAGAGTCAGAGATAGTAGGAACTGCCGACGCTGGAGAATCTGAGATAACAAGGTGTAGAACTGGATGAACACAGCAGGCCAAGCAGCATCAGAGGAGCAGGAAAGCTGACGTTTCGGGTCTCGACCCGTTTCTTTTTTCTGATTATCCATCTTCTATCCGCCTCCCCCTTTCTCCCTGTTTATTTCAGAATCCCCTTCCCCTCCCCCATTTCTGAAGAAGGGTCTAAACCCGAAACGTCAGCTTTCCTGCTCCGCTGATGCTGCTTGGCCTGCTGTGTTCATCCAGCTCTACACCTTGTTGTCTCATCTATTGCCTGTCCCCTGTCAGCTTCAAATAATCATTCAATTCTCTTTTGAAAGCCCTGATTAAAACTGCCTCCACCACACACTTAGCCAATGTGTTCTGATCCTAACTACTTTCTCATGTTGTCATTGCTTCTTCTGCCAGTTAGCTTAAATGAGTGCTTTCTGGGTTCGATCCTTCCACTTTCTCTTCCCTCAGGAGAAAATCAAGAGAAGAATTGACTACGAGGTGTCTACAAAGAGTTCTATTTCTGAAAGGATCAAACCCAGAGAAAATTCCATTTTCTCCAGTCTATCCATATAATTGAATCTGTCTTAAGTGTTCCATTTTCATGAATCTTATCTGCAGAGTCGAACATTAGATGCAGCAACCTCAGTGCATTGTTAAAAGAAGCACAAGGATATAACCCTACAAAGTGGGACTAGTCACAGAGGCAATGGGCCAGATGGCGTCCTTTGGTGTGGTATATCTATGTTTCCTGCCAGGTTGCTGGCAAATCCTTAGACAGGTGGGAAGTGGTAGGAGGCTGCACTCGTACA